AGGCTTGTTTTACCAATCCCTATCCTCTCCTGCAGAGCCTGCAGGTGACCTGTCCCACCTGGGCTTTTCCTCCTAGAATCTGATCCCTGTAATCCTCTGTGAGACTGGAGTCTTTGTTTCTACTGCCCCCTGGGTTGTCAGGATCAGATTCCTGCCAGGCTGAGTGGTGTGAGCCAGCATCTTCCTGTCCTTGGGCCTCTGGACTCCTGCTCCAAGAAATGGTGTACAACCCCTCATGACCCACACATGGAGAGGAGACCAGTAGATGGCTTGGGGACCCTGAACCCTCAAGTTCAAGCTTTTACCTGCCACTTCCTGGGCTTGGAGTGGTTGGGGCAGCTGAAAACCTAGGACCCAGCGTCACCTTTTCTCCTGATTGGAGCAGTGAGGTTCTGGGTCTCAAGATTCCCACACATGTGGCCTTGAACTCGTTCCTCTTCCTGGCCCAGCCAGGTGTTAAACTGGCTGCCCACAGGGAAGAGACAGCCAGGCCTGCAGGGATTGGCTATCTCTGATCCTCCCCAGCATCCTCTGATTAAGGGTTGGGCCAAGGACAAAAAAGTAGCAGAAGAGAAGGAAGAGGAGTTTGTAAGCAAACAAAGCCCTGCGGAGAGGAGGTGCCAGGCTGGGGAGATCCCGCCTAGAGTGGGAGGGGTGCTGCCCAGGGCTGGATAGGCTCTAGGGAGTGAGGTGGGGGCTCTGGGGGATGGGTGGTTACTGGGTAACTGGAGGTCCTGGCAACCTGCCACTATCTGCCGGTTGGGGCGGAAACTTTCAGGCCTCTAACCACCTCTCTCTCCCTGTTTCTCTCTCTCTTCCAGACTCCTTGTCCTGGCCTTTGTCCCGTCGCTGGCCCCATTCTTATTCATCTCTGCCTCGCCCCTTGTTCTGTCCACAGAGTCTACACCCTTGACCCCTCCCTCTATTTTGTGCTCACCCATCTCTGCTTCGGTGCTCACCATCAATAGCCCTTCTCCTTGGCCTGTAGGATGTCACTACTGAGCCTGTCATGGCTGGGACTCTGGCCCCGGACAGACTTCCCCTGGTTGCTCCTGCTGCTGGTTGGGGCCTCCTGGATCCTGGCCCGCATTCTGATCTGGATCTACGCCTACTATGACAACTGCTGCCGCCTTCGATGTTTCCCGCAGCCCACCAAACGAAACTGGTTTTGGGGTCACCTGGGCCTGGTGAGTTGGGTGGCAGGATGCATCTGAGATGTCAGGACTTTGTGAAGCAACAGGGGTAGAGTTCAGAGGGCTGGGTGAGGTATAGGATAGTGAGTAGTGCAGGGGCAGTGAGGGAAACCCCTCTACTCCTCTTCTTTCTGTCCTGTGCCCTCCCTCTTGCCTGAGCCTTTTCTTTAACTCTTACCTTTGCCAGCTAGGCCTACTTTGGATCAATTTTCCTGTCTGTGTTCCCTCCATTAGTGTACTTCTGCCTCCCCTGAGGACCTTCCAGGGCAGGCTGGTCAGAGCTAGAGGCCCTGATTGTCCCATCGCCTTACCTTGAACAGGTGGATCAGGGACACTGCCCAGGGCCTCTTCTTCCTGTCCAGCACACCTCTCCTGGCCTCAGGTACCCACCCTTTCCCTCACCCACCGGGACCCAGCTGAACCACAGGAGGGGTATAGGCAGTCTTTCCACCCTTCTGCTTTCTGGAGAACAGCTTCTTATTTCAGCCCTGACCCCCAGGGTGTCGTAGTGGGCCCTGTATCATGATCCAATAAAGGTTGACCACTTCCCTTTCCCTTTTGAGAAAACATCACTCTGCCCTTTGCCTGAATGGTCAAGTTTCCTGAGAGAGGATTCTGCACCCACCATCTTGACCTTATCCTCAGAGGCCTGTCTCCCAACCTGTGTGGGCCTCCTGTTGCCACATACGCATCACCTCTAAGGGCTCCATCTCCAAATACCATCAGGACCAGCATCGCATCCTCTGATCACAACCCATCTCCTCCCTTTGTCCTTGTTCAACACCTCCCATTTTAGACCCTTCAGGGCTTCCGTTCCAGCCCAACACTTCTTTCTTGACCCTGTTTCCTTGCATACATCTGGTTTAGCTCCCTCAGTCCATCACTTGTCTGTGGGCTGAAGTCTTGCTCTTTGGCCTGTGTTGCAAGGCCATTTGGAAATGTTGGTGTCTCCAACATGCAACCTGCTGGAGTCACCTTGGATGAAGCCCACCACTCCTGTGCTCTGAGCCTTGTCCAGTCATGTTGGACATGGACACAGAGGTGACCTGGACGTCCACCCACCTTCAGTGTGTCTCATTCTCATTAGTTCTGGGCCAGTCTGCTCTGTCATCTCCACATGAACTAAGCATGGTCTACTCTCAGTGTTTCAATTTTCCCACTTCTCTTCAACCACCCCAGTTCCATCCCTACCTCATCATGCTGGGATGACCCACGAGATGACCCACAGATGGCCAGGACTTCCTTCATTTCGTCTCCCGTCCAGCTGACTGATCGAGCCTTCCTGGAGCCTCTTCTCTGACTTCCAGATGCATTCTCTTGGTCTCCCTTTCCCTATCCATGACTCTTCTATATCCTGTCTTGGCTTCTCCTTTAGTCCTGTGGGCCTGGAGGGGCCTTCTGTAGTTCCTCTGTGAGGTGACCACCTGCGTTGCTTGCAGAGTTTGGCTGATTTGACTCAGCTGGTGACCACCTACCCCCAGAATGCTGGATTATGCTTAGGTTCCATCTTGTCTTCTGTCACCCTGATATCATCTGGTTAGCTGTCAGTGCTGCACCCAGCCATGGATGAGAGTGGTGGGCTCCCTCCTGGCTGAGAGTCTGTGTGGTGCCTGTAGGACCCAGGACCCTCCTCCTTTGGGCACCCCAGGCCATCCTTATCTTTCATCTATTTGTCTGGAGAGGACTTAGACTTCAACTGCTCTGGAGGAACCCCAGTATTGAGGAAAGCTCAAATCTGTGTGGTTAGGGCTGGGTCAGAGGAAGACCTTCGGGACCGTAAGAAGACTTCCTGGGGGAGGGGCTGTAGGAAGGAAGATGGATTTTTTTAAGCCTAGAAGAACAAGACAGCAGAAAGAGAGCAAGGAGCACTTTTGTGAGCGTCTAGAAGGTGTTCAGTGGAGGGCTCAGTAAAGAGGGAGACAAAGGCAGAGAGGAGAGGCCAACGGGAACATAGCAGGTATGCAAGCAGGGGAAGGTTGTAGCGAGACCTGCAGATATGAAGCACAGCTGGGGCCCTGCACAATGGAAGCACCCAGGGACATGTGGCCTGGGATGCTGATGGCTAGGTGTGACCCTGGTATGGCACCGTAGGATAAGCACCAGACTGATAACCACAAGATTGGTGGTTCAAATCTACCAGCTGCTTCTTGGGAGCCCTATGAAGGGTTGCTATGAGTCAAAACCAACGCAACAGCACTTAACAACAACAATGGGGTGGGGTGCTGTGGACAGGGGGTGACTAGCTGGGAAGCTGGGAGGAGGGATAGGGGACATTGGTCCTTGGATCTCTGACCTGTGGAGATGAGCATTTGGAAGCCAAGCGCTGAGCCCTGTTGGTCTTATGGTGAATCCAAGGGGCTGAGGTGCCTGAGGGAACTGCCCAGAAGAGGTGGACCCCTCTGGGACCCAGGAGAGAGGATGGGCCGTGGAGGATATAAAAGCAGAGATGGGGATGAAACTGGATTCTGAGGGGACAAGACCCCAGAGAGAGGAGAGTGCAGGCCTGAGCCAGGAAGCCCAGCAAGTGAAGTGCATGAAGATGCTAGGAAGACCAGAAGAGGGGTGTTCTAGAGACCAGAAGGACAGTGCCTAGGGCTGTGTTGTTATGCCCAGAATTCAGGGTCCCCAAAGACCACCCAGGAGCCATGTACCGATGCAAATACATAAGGGAAGTTTATTCAAGCTCGAGCCAGGTCTCTAACCTTATCCGACGCATCGGAATAGGGAAAGAGCCCCGAATTAATTGTCTGCAGGGTTTTTATAGAGTTTTCAAACAGCTCAGGTTTCTCAGCTTTACAATCTTTGGATTGGTTAACAATTGGCAAACTATGAGATGTTACAGTTTAATTGGTCAGGACTGGTGGTCTTCGTTCTTAGGCTAGGGTAAAGGAAAACATCTGGCCTCTGGCCTTGAGCTGCCTGGCTATTTATACATATATCATTTTCTTGGAGCTAGAGGACGTGTTCAGGCTAATGTACAGAATGGAGATTGACCTTGTCTCTCGAGGGAACTAAAAACTGAGGCCTTGTCTATTTAAAATGCTTTCCTGAGCCTGACTAGAGTTTAGTCAAGCAGTCTCTAGGTAGGCAAAATCAGGTAAAATCAGTTTGGTCCTTATAGTGCCTTTGTCCTTCTTTCTTCAATTATCTGGTTCTCTCTCTCTCATTTTTGTTTCCTCCCTCAATGTCACTATTACTATGGTTTGCAATCAGCTGTTTACATAAAAAGAAGCTCTGGTAGCGAAGTGGGTTACCAGTTGGGCTGCTAACCTCAAGGTCAGCTAGTTCGAAACTACCAGCCGTTCCACAGGAGAAAGATGAGACTTTCTACGCTATGAGTCGGAACCGACTCCATGGCATACCACCATCACTGCTCACATAAAGCTTGGCAGTTTGAACGCACTCAGCAATGCTGCAGAAGAAAGTCCTGGCAACCTGCTTCCATAAACACAGCAGCCAAGAAAACACTGTGGAGCACCGTTCTGCTCTGACACACTTGGGGGAGGTCGCCATGAGTCAGCATCGACTCAAGTGCAATTTTGTTTTGTTTTTTAATCTCTTTTTCTATCTCTCCCCGTGTCTCGGATGGTCTCTGCTGCAGGCAGGTGTCTCTAGTAGTTCCGCTTATGTAGAAACCTGCCTGGGGCATGGGTGGTGACTTGCTCAGAGATTTCTGGGGGCACTTCCCAGGAGTGCGTGGGTGCTGCATTCAATAACTGACTGATGTGGGGAGACAAACACCTAGTCCCCTTGTTCAAACAAAAACAAATGTGCCCCTGCTGCCACTGAGTCTGCCCTTGTGTGTTAGAGTAGAAGTTTGCTCCATCGTTTTCTTGGCTGCTGACTTTATAGAAGCAGATCACCAGACCTTTCTTTCATGGTACCATTCAATGGGCTCAAACCTCTCCCCTCCCCTTTAGTTAGTTGTTGTTAAGTGAGCTTCAAACCAACCTTGTGGTCCAGTGTTTCTCCTTCAGTGCCTTTAGGTTAGAGTTGTTGTTGTTAAGTGCCGCTGAGCCGGTTCTGACTCATAGCGACTCTGTATAGGTTTCTGAGGACCAGCTAGTGAATTTGAACCGCCGACCTTGCAGTTCAAACTGAACTTGTGGTCAAGTGCTTATTGTAAAGCACCACACCAGGACTCTGTTAGGTTAGTGTTGTTAAGTGTCGTCAAGTCGGTTACGACCTATATAGGGTTTCTAATGAGCTTGAACAGCTGACCTTGCAATTCCAATGACTTTGCAGCCCAGCTCATTAACCCACAGTGCCACACTGTTGACGGCAAAGCATTTACACCACTCAGGGACCTTCCCTTCTCTCACAGAAGTGCAACTCTGGATGTCACTCACCCTCCACAGCTGAGGCAGGATTCCACCAGAACCCACATCTGTCTGATTTCTTCTTCCCACATCCTTCGGCTCCCCTTCCTTACTTCCAGCTCCTTCTGAGAGCTCTTCTTCAGTAAGTCATGTGACCAGGCACCTCCTACTCAAAGCCTGCTTCTGAAGAATGCAAACTAAGACTGTCCCTCAGTCCCTCAGTTTCTCCATTCTTGCCTGTCCGCCTCCTCCGTGAGTAGCTTTTACTCATGTTCCTCCCCTTCGTTCTCAGTCATCCCCCGGTAGGCTCTGGCCTTGGCACAGGTGTCTCTGGGCTGGGCAGTGTGTCCTCCTGCAGATCCCAGCTGGGGGCTTTCCTGCACGGCAGCAATTGTTGTTGTTGTGATGTGCCGTGGAGGCGGTTCCGACTCATAGCGACCCTACACAGGGTTTCCGAGGCTGTAAATCTTTACGGGAGCAGACCACCTCATCTTTCTCCCGTGGAACCGCTGGTAGTTTCAAACTGCTGACCTTGCGGCTCGCAGCCTGATTCGTAACCACTACGCTACTGAAATGCTGAGTAGGTGCAGCAAAGTTAGGGGAAGGGGTGGTCTTTACTTGACTAATGGGTTCAGATCATGGAGAAGAAATGTTAGAGGAAACAGGGCTGAGGAAGCATTGATGTTCTTGGAGGGTGTGGTGGGCTAAGAAAGGTTGTTTTCTGCAAAGCTGGGGAGGCTACTGGTAGGGGCTAATGGCCAGAGGCTGTGCTGGGCTTGGGTAGCAAAGAAGGAAATTGGATGAGGTGAGATTTTCTGTGAATTCACTTGGAACGTGGAAGGTGAAATATAAGGTATGTGTGTGTGTATGTATGTGTGTGTGTTGGGGGAGAGATGGGAGAGATGGTAGTGGGAGAAACAGAGAGACAAAGAGAGTGATGGCAGAGATAGAGGCAAGGAGAGAGACTGAAGGAGAGAGACAGAGAGATAGAGACAGAGACAGAGAAATAAAGATACACAGAGAGATACAGAGATACAGAGTTATAACTAAATTGTTGTTGTTGTTAAGTGCCATCGAGTCGATTCTGACCCATAGCGACCCTGTATAGGGTTTCCAAGGAGCAACTGGTGAGCTTGAACCGCCAACCTTGCAGTTCAAATGGCTTTGCAGTCTGGTGTATTAACCCACAGTGCCACACCAGGACTAGTAGAGTGAGTAAACGAAACACACTTAGAAATAGAAATGAGGTAAAGAGCTGTCTATGGAGAGGGGGCAATAGGGAGAGACAGAGAGACACATACGGAGAGACGGAGGCAGAGAGAGGAAGAGAGAGAGTGAGGGAAAGAGATAGAAAAACAAACAGGAAGTAAAAGAAACACACTGAGATGGGAAAGAAAGCGAAAGCAAGAGAGGCTAAGGATGCGAGGAGATAGGAAGGTGGGTGGAGAGAGAAATCAAAGCCATAGGGAGAGACTGACCAAGGAAGGCATAGACCAATAACCAAGGCAGAAAGGGGCAGGGAGCTGAGGTGGGGATGGCAGCAATCGAGGCCTCCACCAGGCTGCCATCAGCTTTGCTACCACCCCCAGGTCAAGAACAATGAGGAGGGATTGCAGCTATTGGAAAACCTCGGCCACTTCTTCCGTGACGTCCACCTCTGGTGGGCCGGGCCCTTCTGTCCCGTCCTGCGGATCGTCCACCCGAAGTTTGTTGCTCCCCTGCTCCAGGCCCCAGGTAGTTCTTCCAGAAGCTTCCTTGACCCCAGCCTTTTCTGTGCTCCTGCCCCTTGCCCGTCCCACCCCAAGACAGACCAGGCTGAGTAAGGGAACAAGCAGCATCCATTTGAGACTGTGCTCCACCCCTAAGCAGCTGAGTGACTCTGGGCAGGTCCCTGGCTCTCCAGTTGTGGACGTCTCTTTCATTTGTGAGGTGTGGAAACTAAGTAAAGAAAGGAACTCTACTGATTGAAAAGTTCAAGGAGAGTTGCCTTCAGGTGAAGCTGGAGCCAGGCTGCCAACAATACCATCAGGAATCTGTCCTCATGTCTTAATTGTGTTTTCTGCTATTACTGATTTTTTCTCATGCTGGTAAAGATGAGTTCCAGAATGCCATGAAAAAGCAAGCTCATTCCCACAGTTTTAGCAAAAGTTTCAGGGTAGGGTTCATTTTAACAGGCTTGTCTGGGTCACATGAACAATTCCTCATTCAATCACTATGGCCTGCTTACTGAAGGTCACATGCTCAGTTATGGAGAAGGGGGTGGTATGAGCTGGCCACCTTCCAACTATTTGGATTGAGGGTGAGGGAAGAGTGGTTCTACAAAGGAACATGGGGGACAAGTGCATCCACCCACCAGTATCCCTGGGAGGTGGACACTTCCTCATGAGGAAACTGAGGCACTGGGAGGCACAGTGACTTTGTCATGACCACACAGCCTATTGTAGTGTCCTCTTAGTTGGTGTACTCTTGGTTACCCCAGCTGCCTCCGTTGGGAGGGTCCCCAAGCTGGAAGATGACTTTAGGGGTGGCTAGGGCATTTGGGAGAAGATCCCCAGACTCCAAGATGGTCCATGGTGTCTGGGTGGACCTAGGGGGCTGTTCTGGGGGCTTGAGAGACCAGTGGCAGCTTTTCTTGGTGGGTGGAGCTCAGCATGGGGTGGTGTTTGTTATCCTCTGGTCTCTTTAAGACCCTAATTATGCAACTTCAAGTCTGGTGTCAGGGGTAGGATCCCGAGGAGGAGTAAGTCACACTGGACCATGTACAGAACACTCAAAAAATGAAAAAAAACCCTTATTACTCACTCACGGTGACCCCATAGAGCAATAGAACTACTCCGTAAGGTTTTCAAAGCTTGCCAACTCTTTCAGAAGCAGCTTGCCAGCTCTTTCTTCCAATAACCCTCTGGGTGGGTTTGAACTGACAACCTCTAGGTTAACAGTTACACCACCCAGAGGCTCCTATCTGGTACATTAATGGGAGCATACTGAAATCTTCTCGGAGGTTCATTTGCAGGGCACGTTGAGGTCATGTCAGATGTCTCAGTTCTGTGTCAAAACATGCTATGGGAATGCTAGGCATGTCATGTATATGAGACCATGTATGGCA